TTGTGTATAGACGAAATGGTCCATTTTTCGTAACGCGTAAAATCTGTAATTTTTACGAATACATTTTTCTCACAGATTTGTGATGCATGTAAAAATGATATATTATGATTAAACTGATCGTAGATTTAATTCAGCCGTAATATGTATTTATAAATAGTGGATTTTTTTATAAATATTCGGAATTCTTTGCATGAATCAAAGTTTGTTTGCGATCATTGTTTCAATCGATGTAAAATAAAATGCTTGCATCAAAAAGGTGTGCAAATTGCAATTCGATATTTCATATTGAGAGTTAATTTCCGCGTAGAATCGACATCTTTCTTCGTTATTGTTTTTTTTCTATGAATCTAATTTAGTTTTTCAATACAGTAAAATATAATTATTGCAATACATACATCTTATTATATCAGGAATGAAATTTATTCGGTATTTATCTTAACACTGAGATGGACTTAACTTTTCATTCAGTTTCGATTACGTAATATTTATGTTTCCAAATTTTGTAATATAAATCTTTGCTCGTGGAAAATCTGATTCAAATATTAATTTTATAATATCAATTGTACTAGTACATAATTATTTTTTTTTTGTATCCACTAATACATTTTTATTTCAGCTTACTAATCCTTTTAGTAAGTTCTTTTTACAGAGTATAGAAGCATAGATGAATGGAATATGAAATGGTAAAGGGAAAGATTCAATATGAATTTGAAATAATTAATGGTAAAAGTTACTGCAAGATATAGGAATCAAACTTAATCGTTCTTAGGGAAGCAACTATTTCATACAGTTATTTATCATTTGAGTTTATGTTTCAGGAAAACATCGCGGGGATCATCAAAGACAAGAAACAAAAAATATCTTCTCGTATTTCTTTACTTTATGCAAGTTATAATAATTGTATATGAGTTCATGTTTCAGGAAAACATCGTGGGACCAACAAAGACAAGAAACAGAAAATATCTTCTCGAATTTCTCTATTTTATGTGATTTCTATCTATATTTTAGCAAAACATCGTTCGAAGACGCCAAGAAGAAAATATCTTCTCGTACTTCATGTTTCTGCAGATTGCGTTGCGTTTGAATTAAGTACAAATATATATAGATTGTAAGATAAATATGCGACTATTGCGGTGTCGTAATAAGTATTACAGAAACAAAAACGTACATTTAAGTAGGAACAATTACTATTATGGTGCACATTGGTATTGTGCTAAGCAAGGTTCATACGTGCAGTTGCACTTTTCTACTTCGTTCCTCAGTGTCTCGTAAGGCACTATCGAAATATAATGCATCCATTTGAGTTGGAACAATTAATATCAAGATGCATATTGGTATTTTAATAGTCTGGTTTCCTACGTGTTGTTGCACATTCGTATTTCGTTTCCAGAAAACATGTGGTGGACTGTCTCACATGTATCGCGATTTTGTTACTCTTTTTTGGTCTGTTCATCAGGCAACTCTTCAGTAAACTCTTCCTTTGTGTTTCGAATTTAGATAGCTTTTCTCATTGGAGAAAATATCTAAGTCTGTTAGTTAGGATTCCTCGCCAAAGGTTGGGTGGTTGGGGCGAGGCTAGGGGGGGTCTCCATTCGCAGCAACCTCCACGTGGTGAGACCTGGGGATTATTATTTGCTATGTAATTAATTTTATCGCTTGCCACTGTATAGTAGAATTATTTAACAATTAATTACATAGCAAATAATATGAGCTAATGGCTGCGATCGTCCGCGTATAGATTAGTGTAAACATTGCTTCGTCGCCGGATTGAAAACGTTCAATTCTTCGATCGTTTATCAAATCGAAACTCCCGCCATATTTAGTTTCAATTTTCATAGTTGATAGCATTATAGTTTGATTTCATTCTAAAACAATATTGGTGGATTTAACACCGAAATGGTAACGAGGGTCTAGAGTAGTGTTTCTCATGTTTTTTTTTTTTTTGTTTTTGTTTTCCTGATTTTTAATTCTTGCTGTTTAGCTACGTTTGCTAACTTTACCGATTCAGTAGTTCGATTGGACAGTTTTCAAGATTGTAGTTCTTTAAACGAAGAGGTCGCTCGGAAACCGTTGGTTTTTTACGAAGTCGGTATTTTAGTTCGCGTGACAGGAACTTTCATAAGATGTACTTAGTGGCGCCATCTTTGAACTTTGACGTTGCCTGAACGTATGCAACTCGCCGCATTTTCGTGTCGTTAGCTGTTCTCCTTACCTGTCTTAAATACTGATTGTGAGTTGACTGTATAAAAAAATGCCGTGTTACACGAATTATACTTTCTCCCTTGTATATTCCTTGGTATTATATACCTAGTAATGTTAAATAATGCATGCTAATTTTATTCTTTGTTTTTAGAACAATTTTATTTTAAAATTTTTAAATTATCCATTCTTTATAAATTATATTTCGTTAAAGGATAGTAACACTCATAAAAAAATATACCTGAAATTTTAACGAAAATTAGACTTCCCCTTTTGGAGTTAATCACTTCCCTTTTCGTACGATAGATGTTCACGTCTTAAGATATTAATATAAACATAAATTAAAAGGGTATCATTTTTTGAAAGAGCGTGCAGATGAAAAGTAAAACTTATCGTGTTTTGTAATAGTACTTTATTTACATAATAGTTTATAATACAGTATTCTATTATACGATCATAGATGATCATGAATGATAATATATGAATGATTTCGAGTGAACAGAATGCGTGAAGGGGGTCGCAGTTATGCAGTATATGCGTCTGAATTTTTACTGGATGATCTCAAAGTGTCAAGACTCCTTTGTTTGCAAGGAGAGGATGATGTAGGATATCGATTGATTTTGATGAGTCCTGAGTCTTCTTATCAATTGTCATCGTCTGTTAAACTTATTGAATTCTCCATTCTTGTTCTCTGGTCGCTCCTTCTAGTACCCAAGTTTACGTAGAGCCTTCAAATCCACGTCGCCGTAGTACTTTTCGCTATGAAATTTATTGTTTACAAAATTATATTTGCCTGTTATTCGTAATTACTGAAGAACAGAGAAAGAGTTAAATGACGGCATATTTACTAATTATATTTACAGTTTCATATATACAGGGTGTTCGGCCACCTCTAGCAAAAATTTTAATGAGCGATAGTAGAGGCCAAAATAAGACGAAAATCAAGAATACTAATTTGTTGATGGAAGCTTCGTTAAAAAGTTATTAACAATTAAATTCAAAAATTTCAAATCGTTCTGGAAAAATTATTTTCGATTGCGGTGGTCAACTACAATCATTTTTGGTGAGTACACATACCTCCGCAATACTATCTACTTTCGAGAAAAAAAATCGAGTAGGTGCTGAAATTTTTTCGGCGAAAAAAAATTTTTCAAATCGTTCTAAAAAAATTATTTTCGGTTGCGGGGATCAATTACAATCATTTTTTATCATTACACATACCTCCGAAATTGTACGCACTTTCGAGAAAAAAATTCCTTACTGAAAATCCAATTAGGTGCCTAAATTTTTCAACGGAGAAAAAAAATTGCAAATCGTTGTGGAAAAATTATTTTCGGTTGCGGGGGTCAATTACAATCAGTTTTTGTCATTAGACATACCCACGAAATCCTGCCCACTTTCGAGAAAAAAAATAGAGAAGGTGTGAAATTATTCGAGAAAATTAAAAAATTGCAAATCGTTGTGGAAAAATTATTTTCGGTTGTAGGGTTCAATTGCAGTCATTTTTGGTGAATAGACTTACCCCCGAAATCTTGCGCATTTTCGAGAAAAAAATTCAGTAAGGGCGGCACTTTAAACGTTAATAACTTTTTAACGAAGCTTCCATCAACAAATTGGTATTCTTGATTTTTGTCTTATTTTGGCCTCTACTATCGCTCATTAAAATTTTTGCTAGAGCTGGCCGAACACCCTGTATATTATACAATATGGAAGCAGTTTACCGTATCACAAATGAGTTAGAAAATGTTCAATTATTTTAGTCGAATTTACTTTGGTATTAGTACTAATATTATTTTTCCTCGACAATGAGATATCAGTGTAATTTTATTCGACCTAGCATCGAAGTAACCAGAATCCCCAGAATCTCTTTAGTATGATGAGAATTTAAAAGGCGATGTTGTTACATTAAAAAAAAAGTAATAGAAGTATGGTGGTTATTCTAAATTATGTTATATGGCTTGGTAGATTAAATTATGGCGAAATGCGTACGAGAATATTAGGTGAGTCGCTGAAACGTTAATGTTATATCTATGTTGAGTTCTATGAAAATCAAATCGGGTTACATGTTCGAGGAAAAATTAGTTATGGAAGTAATTAAAGTCATAGACATTGTGATATAAGGGTACCATATTGTACGGTAGCGACATAAATAAACGTGTGTGTTGTATGTGCTCATGAGTGTGGAATGCGTAGAAGAAACGGATGTGCGAACAATGTGTACGATAAGAGCAGAGAAAAATATATTTTATAGAAATCGATATATATCGGAAATTTCTCAGTTGAAGCTTTCGATCCAGAAATAACGAACTGGGATCGTTACTTCAGAGATTTCAAGGAGCAGTTAGAATATTTAAGGTGCCAAATACAACAAAGGGTTCTATGTTTTGGGCACTATACATATTTATCGTTGAAACTAAAAGTGTATACGTTTAAGAACCTCTTGTATTTGGAAAATGGATCCAAAAACCGCTTACAAAGAATTTAATTTTTCATTCTTACGAAACTCTTCACGGAATCGTAGCGTTTTTTCTTAGCTGATATGAAAGCAGATGTTACAAATCTGTACAAATTTCCGGTAAATAAACCCTCCTGCGTGTTAAATGACCACATTATATGTTATTTGTTTATTCGTGAACGAGCATGCAAGGGTTAGAATCACTATGTTCGACGAGGTCAACGATCCAACAATAAGCGACACGGAAAACATTCAGGCGACGTGGGTGGGCGTGGGGATCGGGGGTTTCAAAAGCACAAAGATCTTTTTTTTACGAATTTTTTTCCATTTATTATACGAATCTTTCACATTACTTACAAATATACGGATGAGTCTAGCTTACGCAAGCATGCTCGACCGAGGCCAAGAGCGCGACAGGACCGGGCTCCCGAATTTACGAAATTTAGAAGTCACTGTCCACTGAATTTTTGTTCGAAACTCTCTGTGAAATTCAGCGAACTCGTTCCTCTGCGCGATATATACGCGTCGCGATCACAGAGCCTTTTCCTTCGTACGCTCTTCTATTTTCTTCTTTTAAAGAATCGAACGTCTCGCGACAGCAAAGGAGGGAATACGAACAGCAACAGCGAAGACAGATCAAGGGGGTGCAAAATGATAACAGGCAAGAAAGAGTGAAAGAACAAGCTCGAAGGGAGCTCGACGAGAAGTTACCCCGATCGAATATTCCGACTTTTCCAACGAATACGAGCAAAAAAAAAAAAAGATAATCGAAAGAATAGATTCATCGGGGGGAAAAGTAACCGAACGATGTTCGCGGATTTTAATTAGCCTTCCACGCTCTGACGAGCTTACGATCAGTCTCTTAATAATTTTACGCGGGTTCCTCGTTCGATTTTCTCATCTGAAGTAACTGGACGACGGAGAAATGATAGACAAAACGGGCCGCGGGGAATTAAAATCGCGCGAACGACCCGTTTGTTTCTATCGCCCGCGACAAGACGCATCTTCTAATTGCTAATTAACGCGAACGTTGATGCGAATGGAATTCGAATTTCGCTCTCTCCATGTTCGAAACGAACGATCTCTCGTGAATTTCTGTCGAACGCAAGGTGTTCACCGATGTGTAACGCGGTGGCGTGAATAATTACATCTTCAAAAAAATCGTTTTTTCGTCTTGAAAAATTTTTTTCAGACTGTTTACTTCATTACTGAATTCAGTTTGCTAAGGTTGAACCAACAAATGTCGATTTCCTTGCTTAGAAAATTCTCCAAATTATTCTGTAATTTTTTCGAGAGATTTGTATTTTCTTTTCGCGCAAGTAATCGTTAATTAAAAATATCGAATATGTAATAAATCGTGAAAAATGCATTGCAACACGATACAATATCCCTCTAGACGCGAATCTGTATTTATTTCCAATCGCTAGGGTCGGTTTTACGATAAGTCTGAGTTTCTCAGTCGGATACTGAGGATTCGTGACAGTGATTTACGTATTGGTCAGGGTCGGAAGACACAGTTGCTACGCGAAATGCTACATTTCGGGCAGAATGTTCGGACAAAAGAGCTTGGATCGAAATAATTATTCGCGCCACCGTGGATCCGCAGCATTTTGCTTGAATGCGAACGCTGGAAACGTTTACCGAACGGCAACTCTTGACTCTCGGTATTACATATTCAATACCTTGTATTAAATACATGTGTGCTCGTGTGACAGAAACAAGGGAACAGAGAGAGAGAAAGAGTGAGAGAGAGAGAGATGCAGTGATGGAGAGGAGGGAACGTGAAGACGCGAGAAAGGGAAGAGAAAAAGAGGGGGGGGGGGATCAGAAATATTAGAAATTATTCCTGAGGGGGTGCGTTGGGCCTCGCGGGTGCCGAGGGGGGCCTTGGTTTGCTCTGACCGTGAGGCTTCCTGGTCTCGCCCGAATTCTGAATACCGGCAAGTAGCTCGCTCTTCCTGATGCTCTTTAGGTCCAGGTCACCATAGTAATCCTCACTGTGAAGCAAAACCAGGAAAAATCCGGGGCTTAGGACATGCGTGACGTGCCACCTGCCTCGCGTGTGTTTCGTGAGTTGAGTTAATCACGGTACGCGAACGGGTATTGAACGTTCGGAGCTGGTCAAGATCCAGAAAAATGAGGAGGAAATTTACGAATATTCGAGGCGGGAATGATACAAATTTACGGTATAAATTCAAACGTAAATTGGGATCTCTCTACCTCGCGAGGAAACGTTCGACCAATTCGTATTTTTTAATTTCAGATCAGAAATTATTGATGAAATTATTGAGGAACGAGGTAGATTCGTACATTTTCTCATGAGAAGACTCTTGGATACTTCCAGAAAAAATGAATAGCTTAAAAATCATCGAATAATTTGGAAAAATATATTTCTGCAACTTCGATCGATAATTTAAATTCCAATTGACCATACATGCGATTGGTGGTTTTTGTTTATCATCGATAAATTTTGTGAGAATCGTGTTCGTATTTGGTTTGAATGAATCGAGATCCTGATTTACGTTCGTGAGACTCGAAAGAAGTGGAGTCTCGTTTTCGATTCGAGTCTCGTGCCGACACGAATATTTTGAATCGTCCCGTTACGCATTTAGGGATTCCTGCGTGTTTCGAGATCTCGAACAGCTCTGCTAGGCATATACATTTTTTAGTACACGTATATCTTTATAGTTTGTCGTAAAATGTTGTGAATTTATATAATCTTGGTATATGTCGTTTAAAATATTTCAAATCTGATTGTATAAATTTCGAAAAATGGTTCACGAGGCAAACTAAGACTTTTTACAAACTGTTTTTATACAAATATAAAACGAGAAATGTAACGTCCATTTGGTAAATTATGATATAATTGGTATGAACATTGGAAGTGCATATTGCTCATGGCATTCCATTTAACGACAAACTATATTTGATAATTATTATTACAGAACCTTCGATACTAAGGGAGATACATTCAAAGAGTGGAAATTAACTAAATGTTCATGTTAGACAATTTTTTTGTTAATTGATATTATTCAAATGAACGTATCGTTAATAAAAATCGCGTAGGTCAATAATAAAGGAAACATTTCAACGATGCCCTCGATCTTTCGAAAGAAATTATAAAACAATTCTACAAAAAACGGATAGAGTAAACAATGGGTGTAAAAAGTGGAGAAAATAGTATTACAAACATAAAGTATGTACATTAAATAGGGGTATTTAAAAATTAGTAAGAGCAGGAAGTGTTTAGTTTGACAAGTAAATCGAAGAGCAAAGAAAGAATTATTTTCAGTCAAAAATTTCTATTTCGTGCATTATCTAGTAAATCTTGATCACGATAGTCGGAATGTAATTGATAATTCAAGACGAGGAGCAAAATTGTTAATATCTATTAAAATACTGTTGACTTTCATGCACGTTATTCCTGTTCCCGAGGAACATTATATAAATATTGTTACCAACATTTGGATGCTGTTACGCAAAACCAATCTGCCCGGTATGAGAGCAAGGTGTATCAGGAATATCCGTTTAATTGCGTCACTCGAAAAAGAAAAAATATCTTACGAACTTCCAGAGTGTGCTTTAACGTATGGTTGATTTTTAAATACTGTAATCAAACGCGGACTATATAACACCCGGTTTATCAAGAATTTGTTTTTACGTAACGTCTGGTCGCTAACTTTCCCGATGCGTATAAACGTGTACGACTGTCTGTCGTTATCGCTTCTTTTTAACGTTATTTATTGATCATTGAAACGAATGGGGGGATACGAGGAAGTTGGGACATCTTTTTTTTAAAAATAATTAAACCGTTTCGTTTCAATCGACTGCCAATGTAAATAAATGTCTGCAATGTTCGCAATGTTTCTTGAAAGACTTTATCGCATCCCCGTAAGAAAGGTGACGCAATTAAAAATTCTTCGATCGCAGGATTATGTAGCCATTGTGTAGAAAATATGTTAGATCCTCGAGGGAAAGAGCGTCTGAAATTGCCGTGTAATTACAATGCAATTACTCTGTGAAAGTAGTCGTGGCATATGTGATCAGATCACATTTTGCCCAATACTGCCAATATAACCTGTATTTTCAAAGTTTGATTTCATCTATCGGTTGGCATTATAAACAGTACGATCACCAAGCAATCCGTTTATAACAGTTATTAGTTACAATTTCTTACACCAAGATAGATTTAGTTAAAAGGTTGTTTTCACTAAAATACACCTTTTAATTCGTAGCCCATTATCCGTGTTTACCAATGGTTTGTTATTTAACATTTTTGTTAGATGTCACAAACAATTTTGATTTCGAAATTTTGTGATAGCCCAAAACGATGCTCGTTGCTACGATTTCAAATTGATATTTCTTGAGTCCTGTCGCTTTTGTATCATGACAAAATTAATTAACTGATTTCAATTAACTTGGAGTCTAATTAACGCTTTACCGACCGATAGCCGATAAATCAGTTTTTTACCGCTCAACACTTTACCGACCGGTAGCTTATTAATCGGTTGTCATGAAAATAAAAAATATCACTAGATTTAATTACCCTGTAATAGCAGAAAGAGTACAATATAGTAACCACTGTTGCAAAGTTTCATTTAACATTCCTATAAGTACAAGAAAAAGTAGATATATGATCTAGGGTCAATCGGTCGGTAAAGTGTTAATTACTGTCGTCGGAAATTAATTGTTTTCGATCGACGGTTGTCGAGCTTCGTCAGGTAGCGAAACACCGATTACCCTTTTAGCGCGATTTTTGAAAGGTCGAGACAAGTTAATGGCGAAATCGTGAACTCACCATCCGGGAACGTCTTCGGGATCCTCGCAGGCGCCGCTGCCGTCCGCGTCACCGATTTTGAAGACGGTGCCGATCGGGCAACCGTACTCCCTGGCGGTACCCTCGAGACATATGTAATACTTTCTGCAGTCGTCGGGATGGGCGTGTCTGCTGAAGCTGCCGGATGCTCCGCTCACTTCGCCCGCGGCGGGACACGCGAAACCTCCTGCGACCTCTGTGCAATGCGATAAAACACACAAGTACACGATGAGACGAGGAGAGAGAGAGAGAGAGAGGCGTGCCAGCTTACAATTACACAAGGCACAGGTCGAGCGCGGTGTCGGTGAATGGTAAAATCAGGGTTCGGCTTTGAATTCTACCGCGTGCGAGCCAACGAACGAAGATTCCGCGCTAAGAAACACAGGATGTGCGTGGGGACCATTGTCACGTATCGAACACGAGGAACAACACGAATAAATAATATTCAGGGAGAAGTGACCCCGCGTGTCGTCGATGTGCAATTGGTTTCTGGTGAATGGGACGTTTCGTAACGCATTCTACCCGGTCCTTCGTTCTAACCGGACTGAATAATGGGAGCAAATAAGCAGGCTCGCAAGGAGACCCCGCGGGTGTAGTAACCGCTTCGAGGATAAGAGTATAATTTATAGTATACACGTTGTGTAAACCTCGAGCTCTTGAAGTTTTAAAGAACCTTGAAGTTGTCGTATGAAGTTTCAATAGTCAGCTCTCAAAGTTCTTGACATTCAGGAAATTAATAGCAAATAAAATGACGGATTTAGAAGAGCTCAACGGGTGTGAAGAGGGCTAATAATCATGAGAAAAAATCAGGAATTTCGGGTCTAGAGATTACGAATAGAAATATTACAAAATCAGAAAACGTTAAGTGTGTTATAAAATTGCTTCGACAAAGTTTACCGAGATTCTGATCGGGCACGTTATACTGCAGAGGTTAAGGTGAGTGCGGTACCACGAGTAAGGGGAATGCAGTCAGTATGGGGCAATTTTTGCTTAGGCGCGACTCTTACAAAGGCTGACTACAACGTCTGACCCAACACGACTCGCATTTCCTTTCAGGACTGATCTTTCGAGCTTCTAACAGCAAATGCAAGAGATCAATGCAGACAATCGAATGTCAACGAGCACTGATCTCGCTGCAATTGTGCTCGAAGAGAAGAGTTTTGTGCATAAAAAAGAAGCATCCATCGAGTTTTTGCATAGTTTTGCAATCGTCTATGTATAGTTTGACTGCGTAGAAAAGATCCCCTAACTACATTCACTTTATTAAAAGTATTTTAAGCAACTTTCAACATGAAAATTCTAAAGTGGACATCCTTGCAATTCACTTTAACCACGTTCATCGGGGAATTTTTCTAATTAGTCGAACTGTAGGTTTGTTCGGACGTACCTTCGTTTCTGCATTCAGGTACTTGGTCTGCCCACATGCAGACTCTAGCCTCGCGATCGTACGCGAGTCCAGGGCTGCACTGATACCTGGAGGATTCTCCGTTCCAACAGTTCCAGAACACGTCGCATTTCTTCTCGTCGGGGAAGATCCCGTAAAGTCGAGGGCAATGCGGCGTGCTCACGGCTGGCTCCAGCTGCGACCTCTCGCCGCAGTCGACGTTGTGGAGGTAGTCGCAGTTTTCGGTGAGGAACTTGCTGTCGCTTGCGTCGAACGCAAGACCGTTACCGCAGGTCTTCAGCTCCGCGACGTTGTTGTCGCATTTCCAATATTTGTCGCAGGATATGTGATGCGGATAGAATCCGAAGTCGTCTGGGCATTTGAACGATTCCTGGGCGCTCACGCCTGCAATAGCAACGATACGTCGTTAGCGACAGAATATTTTTGCATTGGAATTGAATTAACGAAACGAGACGATTGACACGAGAACGCTCGGTTTCAGTCGGCGGCGATAACAAACGTAACGCGTTGCAAAATCAAAGAAGTACGTTATCGATTGATAGACAACAATAAAATTGAGAAACACAGCAGTGTTATATGCGGGATAAAGTGCACAAAAATTTAGTAAATAATATATGTATATTAGGTCGTTGTTGGTAGCTCCAGATGTTTTATATTTCATAAATATCAGTCAAAAGACGCCATATTTGATTAAGACACGTGCTTCGAACGAGCAAGTTAAAAATGAACCGTGGCAAGTTTGTTATATGGAAAGGGTGGTACTTTATAACAAATCGAAAATGAAAAAAAAAACAGCCTGTTTACAGAACATAACAAACAGTTTGACCATAACTTTTATTTCAAAATTGTTGAGGTAGTAGAAATTGAAAATAATTAAAACAATTAAAACAATGGCAAGGACACGCGACACGCATTAACGCGCAAAGTTAATTCGAAACACAGCCCAATGATATTTTTAATCCACAAAGCCTATTATAGAACGGTAGGTTTCTTAGATAATGAAACGGAAGTTGAACTTGTCTTCCGGTATTGAGTTGTAAAAGTCACCTTCGCGATGCAGTTCGACGGATACAAAAATTCAACATTCTTTTAGCACGAAGGTGAACAAGAAAGTTTAGGCGTACGGTGTTATACCAACAAGCGTTCGTAAGAGCAAGATGAACGAGGAAGTTTAATTTCTTAAAAAGGTAGCGCAAAAAGTGCAACGAAACGATGAACAAAAAGAGTTCGCTTTCAACGACCGGATACGTTTTGGTTTCGCGTCCCGTTTGTTACAATGCTAATAACGCGGCTATACTCGCGGGAGAACTATAAAACGAGCGGCCGTAGTTCGAATACAAACGTTTTACGTAAAACGGTCCCGCAAAAAAGGCATAGGAAATTAAACCGAGCCATACCGATTCAACTGATTACATATTTCCATTTTTAGAATGGAAATTAACGACAGCATTTGCGGTCGCGATTTCTAACAGGCCCCCAGGAACCTCCGAAACAATTTGTTATTTTAAACGGATTCCTTTGAAAGAGTAACGATCGTTAAATTGCATATTTCACCGCTGAAATTCATCCAATCACCGGCCAGATTTTCCCAGCCGGGTACGATCCGCAGGAAAAAAATTTTCGTTGCGGTTACCGGCGCGGCGTAACACTTAATCGTGCCAGGGATCGTGGTAATCGCGTACAATTTTACCGTTTCGGCGGACGTTCTGTTCGGGGAGAGAATTAAACGATAAAATTGCTCGTCGTTTTCTTTATCGCGCGAATCGTTCGTTTGTTTCGCGATCGCGCCATGGTGTACGATACTCGGCTGGAAGAAGAACGTACACGTTACGTTTTCGCTTTTATTAGCGATTCCGATGCAAAGACAACGTTCTTTATCGTCTATTGTCTCGTTGCCAGCGGCTGCCAATTACGCCTAATAATCTGTTATTCTTTTTTCGCGGCATATGATGTCTGAATAACCTAAACGTCTTATGTAAGGACACAAACTGACTTTCGCCAGGCGCTTTCACTTTGGGCCTAGAGCCAGGCCCCGCCACCAGCAGCCGCAACACCAACACGGCTCGTGACTGGGCTCTCCCAGCCTGGGAGTCCCAGCATCCCGTTCACTCGGCTCTCCTCAACACGTTTTCCCGTCTTTATCGCGCAGACGCGCGCGCGCATGCGCGCTACGCCGCCGCGTGTAAGTGCGCGTTATATTCACTTTCATTTTTCTCTGGACCGGTACCAAAAGTCGTTGATAAAATTACAAACGCGGTTAAATTTATGATCCTTCCTGTCCCAAACCGTTCCATATGGCATTGCTAACTTTAAGGCTCGTAATTTCACGTATGATCGGCCCGATTCCATTTAGGTTGGCTCGTAAAACTTACACGTTGTAATACTTCGCTCGACTCGTCCTTTCACCCTGATCGGTGCACTTCTTTCTTACATTTTGATTCATTGTTTTCGTTTGGCAAACGAGATCGTTAAACGAAATAACAAATTTGACGTAATTAGCGTTCAACGATAGAAGTATTGTTATTATAACAGTAGAAAATAAGATATCGGTGAAACGACTCGTCTCGCATCGCTCCACATGTATATCGAAAATATAGAAGATTGCATTTTATTTTATTTTTAGTTTCATGTTAGGAAGCTGATAGACGGTGCAGTGTATTTTTTTATTCGATTTATATCGTAAGCTGAATATTTTTTGATTTTTATGATTCCATATGGTATCTATGGGACTTTATGGAGTCACAAAGCATAAGTAAAAACTAGATGGCGACGATTTAAATTTCATACTCTGCTGATATCGATTATTATTAAAGAGATAATTACCATATGGTGTTGTATAGTACTTGTACTTTTCGACAAAAGTACGTTTCTTTCAAAATAATTATTTTTTATTAAAAGAATCGTTTCGAGACAGAAAGGGTTAATAGGAATCACTAGCGAAATTGCAGAACTTTTACACCCATTTTCGTGAGTTAATATTTTGTTCATTATTACACGAATGTATTATACTTATAACGTGTAATATGTTATAGCAAGAATTTATCGAATTAATTGAAAATAGCACGAAGATGAAAAAATAAAAAATACTAGTCCAAGACTAATAGGAGGTCTAATTGTGTAAAATGTTTACTAAAGGTTAAATGCCGGAATAAAAAATATTAATTGGATTATTGTAGTGTACGTATACGAAGATTCGATCAAAACAATGTGACTGTTTTTGCGCGATAGAATTAATTTGACCACGTTTGTAGTACACCAAACGTTGCGTCGACGTTTTCTCGGTTTTTCGTCCACGAATTTTCGACGGTCCCAGAATATTTTCTATCTTTCAGCGGCGCTGGACGATGATAAAAAGAAGGGTCAAGATCTGGGCCAAGGTTATCCTCTTGCGCCGAGGAAAGTCCAGAGAGGGGGAGGAAAAAGAATGCAAATGCGCGTCGGGAAGGTTTCTCTTTGCACGGAAACTGAATCCGCCTTTCGATCTCGTTTCGTTTGTAGATCGTGCGGAGAAGCGTGTAAGGTGATCACGATTTTCAACGATCGTCTTAGAAACATCTGTAGGTCGGTTTCCAGAATGGAATTTTTTACTGTTTAGTATACACAAACATATGCGATAGACGTATACAAAAGTTACTCCAACACGTGGCACCGTATGGTGAATCAATTTCCTTTTTCTCTACTGCGAACATTATGTTCTAAGCATCGTATCGTAGTTACAGTGTAATCTCATATTTAAAGAAATCGTGTCAAATATGGCACTCTACATCTTGGAAATGAAATAAAACACTTGTCGGAAACATTGAAGTTAAAACAATTCGTCTGCACATCGAATGCTCGTAGTAGAGAAATTGTACTAATAAAAATTGATGAATTTAACACGGACGGTCACAATTCGAGCGGTGGTTGCAAAGGTCTAATCGGAGATTATTATTCGTACGTAAAATATTGAATAATCCAATGCACGGATCAATGGAACTACAGATATATCGCTATCGTGAAAATCGCGACGAAGATCGCACTCTCTTTGTGATCCACACGCGTATGTCACACACTGATGTCCTCCACTTCCGACAAATCGATCGTCCTCGAATAGCACTTCTTTTTTTGATCCCCCCCCCCCGATAATTATTCCGTATTAACGCGTATCCCCGTGTTCTCTATCCACCCCCAAACGCGTCCTCGTGATCGTGTCGCGTTTATTTCGGGTACGTACCGGCGATCAGAATGGCGGCTATCACGTAGTACGTCCTCATGGTTACGAATGCGTGTATCTCCCGCGTGGTTGCCGTGAACGAGTTAAAAATGCTTGAGGTACGGCGTAGAGTGTTATTACTATCACTTTTGCGGGCACAGACTCCACTGCGCAGAGAGAACTCCGTGTTTGCGCCCTGTCGTTCTCCACCTTTATAGAAGTCATTGGTCACGTGTTGTTCCTCTTCCACCTCCCGCGTAGAACCCTCCTTCTCTTCTACCTCGTCACTTCAAGAAGAGGTACCGTGTACCTCGGCTACGTTACTTCTCTCCCTCTCCTAACCTCTGTCTCTCTCGTTTTCGTCTCGACGATCTCACCTTTCTTTTTCTTTATTCTTCCCCGCTGAAAATGCCATCCAAAGAGCCAACAGGGGCCCCCGGTAATAACGTCGGTCTCGTTCTTTCCTACGTTACGTTCTCCGTTGTCGCGCCGTCACTGCCTTAAATGCTAAAATAATTTTTTATCGCCGATATCCTCTGCCGCGTCGATCCCACGTTTTACGGGTTTTATTGTCACGTTTCGTTGCTCGGATACCCTGCGGGACCAGTTTCGACGGCTCGCTTTTCACACGGTCCACCTAAAAATCTGCTTTTCGATTTTCGGTCGAGGGGGCTCCGCGCTTTGTTCCCTTCCATTGTTCGGAGGATCGACGGGTTTTCGGGCACTTTGATTCCCCGAACGTGAGGAAGCTTTGGTTTATGAATTTTTGGATTTTAACGTAGCGTTTTAAGATCTTTAGGAAATCTTGAAAGATCGAAATAACTTTTTTTTTTAAATTCTGATCGTCAAGTCTGAATTTCATTTATAGGGAATTTTCTCTAGTTTTCCAATTATACGTTACGTTTTTATATCATTAGGATGGTTAATCCATGGAAGAGTGAAATAATCTTTTATTTTTAATTCTGATTGTCAAATCTGAATTTCATTTATAAGGAATTTTCTCTAGTTACGTTTTTGTATTATTAGGGTGGGTTAGAGTATGGACGTCTAATTTGGCCACTTAGTTTAGGAACACTCTATATGTAGCTTATCTGGACATCGAAATTTGAGCTCGCGCAGGTGGTACTGTTTTAGTACACAGGTAGCGTGTCCCGGTGGTCGCACGATTTGCAGAATATTGACCGATCGCAACGTGATTATAATAATAATCGTAAGTCCCTGGCGGCTACGTGATATAAAATAACGGGGAAGGCTGGAAGGGGACGAAGGTCGAGCACGATCGACGTGACTCACCGTGACACCCAGCTCTGATACACCACCCTGTTCAACATTCCGACAGAGGTTATCTGACGAGAGCTAGTCTCTCGGTGGTCGTTATTTTAGCCTCGGAGACAATCACCCGAAAATAAACTCCTCGTGTAGGATTCGCTAACAAAGTTTCAATCCAGATAAGAATCCAGAAGAATTCGTCGTTTGGGACTTTCAAAAATTCATTTTTTACCCTTTTCTGCCGGAGAAGCGTTATACAGGGTGGCCTGGTAACCGTGGCGGGATCGAGAATAGGCGATGATCGTGCAAAATTAAATCGAATCTGTAGAGAAAAACAACTTTGACGATCTCGAATATTGGAACATAGCTGTTCTTGATTAAATAATTACAAGTCTCAAGCATAGTATTAAGGCACCGTGGACAGCATTCTGAATATTTTCTCCGATAGAATTAATTGTAGAAAGTGTACGTCTTATCTATCTTGTCTTCGCTTACAAAACTGTCCTAATTAAATATACATATTATTTTATGCAGTTCGTTAGACACAGCGTTGGAGCACGATATCGATTACAAATAAAATCAATTTTAGTCCGTTAAAGTAGTTAGATCTCTTGCAGCTTGAAAACAAAATGAATATTCAAATATTAATACCAGTAAAAAAAAATGTCCTCCAAAGAAGAGACTGGTATTTAATGGGTTAATGAGAACAGTAGGTGGTTTCTGTTTGCGTTTGGGGTTCTACGGGTAGAAAGTTGATTATATCAGGTTTCGACTGGTTTCTGTGTAACACGTACTGGCGGAACACGTCTGTGGACGACTTCTAATTAACATAACTTAATTAGCGATGCTTTTCCTGTTTTCGAATCTCCATCGATCGACGGTCCATCGATTTCGGTACCTGGAAATTTTATGCGCCGTTGATCGGACCAACGATTGATATTTATTTCCTTACATCATCCATTCGCATTTCTGGCACTTGCCGCATTTCTTATACAAGAAAGTGCCAAGGTATTTTGCAATTATTTCGTCACTTTTCGCTTACATCTTGCGGTGAGATCTTGCCTTTGTCCAGAGCTTCGAAAGAAATCGATCACTGTTCAATAATACTAAATACAAATTGCAATTTGATCGTAGCTATATTATTCTAAAGGAAAACGTCCCTTATATTTCCAAGTATCGATACACAGTTCTGAAATTGCATTCTTCTAACGGGCGAAAAGTTTTAATGTCTCTGGTTTAATAGTTTGTTTTTAGTAAAAGGGTGCTTCAAAACTCAACGTTCAAATTCCATTCTGTCTTGAACCCCATAAAAATGCATTGTGTTCGTTTTATTCTTGTAATACGCTTCAGACGACAAACGTTTCTTTCGTCGCAATTTAATAAAACGCGAGTAAAAGTGGAAGTCCGGGTGTTTTCGTACCAGCTCGCTCGCGAACGCAACGAAATCGCGGGGGCGTTGAAAAGAGCGACTGAAATTTCGCAACCGACTGAAAAAAAAATACCGAACGCGGGCTTAACGCCGCGGCAAATAGGAACGTATTCTAATTCAGCGTATTTCCAAGCAGACGATTTCAATCAGGACGGACAGGCGCATGTTAATGCCGGTCGCTTTCGACGACAACGGAACTTTCTCGCTCCGCTTAATCCAGTTTCTCGAATAAATCGCATTGGCTGAGCCGGTGTTTGCGCTTACGTGCACGTCCACGCTCGAGCGATCTAACGAGGAGCAAAAAACCTAAGGTATCGCAGGTTGATCGACCTTGGCGTCGTAACGCAAACTAAATGAAGACGAAAGGAGCATCGCGTTCAGATCTGAACTCGATCGTCGCGCGCGCCTTCTTCGTAGTTAATGTTTTATACCGCGATGCTTATTGCCGACGTTACGCAAGATTAAAAGCAGCGTAAGTGTGGGTAGAAATTCTCTTGAGACATCCAGTAATTCCCACTTTTGCGCGACAAAATTGGTAACGCCAATTAATACCAACGATAGCATGAACTGACATTATTACTCGGTTTGGGGACTCTTTTCACGTGTTTGTTCAGGCACGCTCGTTGCAATAATCGCGTGTAGGGTAGCCTCCGGTATAAAAGATCGTAATCAAGGCCGCGAGTCGGCTGGGGCCATGAAAGCGGATGAAAATCAAAACTCATAATACGCTTATGGACTCGTTAATTAATTCGCGTCCGCGTCCCGTAGTTTCACGTTCGTGCATAGTGATCACGAGATGAAATAACACTTTTGTAGCTCATCGTCGTTAAGGTAATTGCCTAGCTGGATATCGATAACTCACGATGCGATCGTGAAAACGATAGCCTGCTGTGTTAATAGTTATGGTTCTGCTTCCCGGTAAAAGCTTCTGTTTTGATTTATTTTTAAACCGCTTAATCAGCAGATCGTATTTTGCCGTCCTTGTTATGGTATATTTAGTCTTCGACCATTTAATGACTTTCTCGAATTCTTTCACTTTCCATTTTCTTGGAGTTTTAGGCGATGTTTCGACGCGATTCGATAATAATTCAGAAAAATTGACGAGATTACGGAAATTGTAAGGCAAAGATCAAAGCGATCCGCGCACGCAAAGCGTCTGCTTAAAAAGGTTCAACGCAAAGATGAGTCACTTAATTTTTTGATCTCCTTATTCGCATTTAAAGAAGGACGTGATGTGATTAAACTATTCAGTGAATTTTAATAGCGAATTCTGGTTGCAGTGTACATAATTTCCTGCGCGGATGGAACCGTCGCGTGTCGAGGTTTTCAATTTTAACGTCTCGTTTCTCGATCTTCATTTCTCGGAACTACTTCTTTATAGGCGTCCCTAAAAATGGCACCTTTTTATTATTTCTCTAGTCTTGTTATTGTCGCTCAAAGGCAGAAAACACAATAATGGAAAATATGTCACGCGTTGTATCATTTTGCCAGAATTTTTTCATTTATAAAATATGTAAATACAAAGTCGAAGAGACTGTAAGATGAGAACCGATGGACATTGGCGAATTCTGTTTTTTAAACGCGTCGAGGACAGCCGAATACAAGGCCCGACGATGAAAAAGGAAGTATTGTACCGGATGGCTAATGCACAATCTCCTTCCGGATAACGGTAAGAGTGCACTGACGTGGTAGTCAGTGTTACGTGCCATAACGACCCAAGGATGCAGGTGCCGCGCCTCTCGATGATTAATATTCGGCTCGTAGGTCTCCTTAATACGACCGATTCGAGCAGGACAACCGGTCGTCCTCCTCCTGGTACCTCTTCTGTCACCTTGCCCTGAATCTTTGTCGTGCGCGTATTTATAGGCTATATTTTCAGGCAAAAGCCAGTTCTCGCGATGGTAATTTCTCTTTGTTCGCCGCCAATTGGAACAACCTTTCTCGCGGTAAAAATTCGTCGAAGGTTTGCTTAGATACGCTCGCAAACACGCTGCTCTCGAAGTTCGCGCGAGTCTCCGGCCAAGGATAGCTGGAGATATGAATGCCAGATCAGGCGATGAACGGGGTGAAAATAACCGGCATTATAGTTTCTATGATCAATCGAAGCGTTTGCATTCTTGGCCTTACAATTAGTGCATTCTTAAATAATTTTTAAATATTAATATCGTAATATAATAGTTGAAACGTGACATCAAATTTATACTGTTTCAAATGATTTGAGAAAAATGCATATACATTTAGTTATGTCATTATTAATCATTTTACAATGCTCTTACGCTGGGTAAATGTTAATCGTCTTACGCAACATCTTGTCAAACATAATACAGTTTTTTTTGTCGATGCTTTGATACTTACGGTAATCCTCTTTTGGAAACTTTAAACTCTTTGCAAGATTAAATTTCATGCCCGTGACATCTTCCGCGGTTCTGGGATAAAGATTAAGTTCACCTTTGTTGTTTTTATTTTACATTGC